ATATAATTTCTTGAGACAGGGTTCCTCTCTGTAATGGCTCCGGCTGGTCTGGAATTCACTGTTGACCAGGCTGGCCTTGAACTCACAGAGTTCCACCTGCCTCTGCCTCCTAAGTGCTGGAATTAAAGGCATGTGCCACCATGGCCTGGTTGTTGCAAATGTTTTGATTAATAGGAAGTATGTGAGACCCAGGGCAAAATACATAAATGTAAAAAAATAAAAGTTCCTTCCTGTATACACATGAGTAATGAATGATCTGTGTGCATTTTGGATACATCCATGTATCTGTAGACACTCTGCTGCTGCTCTCTCTTGGCTGTTGTGACTAGCGCTGCCATGAACATAGGTGTGCAGATATCTATTTTAGTGTTGGCTTTCAATTCTCTTGGACACTTATCAAGAAGTGGAATGGCTGGGTTGTCTGGCAATCCTATATCTGAAATTTGGCGGTTGCCAGCACACCTTCCTCTGTAGCTACACTGTGTTCCGATTTCGCGATCAGTGCACAAAGTGTCACTTTTCTTCTTGCCAACATATTCATATTCATATCCATATTTTCCCTCTCTGAACATAGCAGTCACCGTGACGCATGCAATGTACATTATTTTAAAACCTTGTTTTGTTCTCTAATATGTCATGTTCCAGTGTGGTGTTCCCTAGCATAGGAGGTAGGGAGGAGCATCCATTATGTTCTTAAAAAATGAATTCATGGGACTGGAGAGATGGCTCAGTGGTTAAGAGCTTTGCCTTCTCTTCCAAAGGTCCTGAGTTCAATTCCCAGCAACCACATGGTGGCTCACAGTTGTCTGTAATGGGGTCTGGTGCCTTCTTCTGGCCTGCAGGCATACACACAGATAGAATATTGTATACATAATAAATAAATATTTAAAAAATGAATTCATGATGTGGTAACTCCTTCAGCTTGTTTTTCTTCATGGTTATCTTAAGCAGGCAACCAGTTCCAGCCCTGCAAACCACTTTGTTTGGTCATGGTATTTTGTTTTAGTGGCACTTAGCGTTTCTGGAAAGGACCGAACAGTCCCCATCAGTAAACATTTCCCTGATGGTGGAACCAGAGTCCACATTACTCTGACTGGTAATTAAAAAAAATAAGACAAAACTTTATTTTTATTTTATGTGCATCAGTGTTTTGCCTGCATGTCTGTGTGAGGGTGCTGGATCCCCTGGAACTGGAGATACAGACAGGCGTGAGCTGCCATGTGGGTGCTGGGAGTTGAACCTGGGTCCTCTGGAAGAGCAGTCAGTGCTCTCAACTGCTGAGCCATCCAGGCCCTGACTGGGAATTCTTGAAGTGAGTTAGTATTAAGCGTGTTGGTCGTTAGCCCCGCACGGAATTATCCTTTCCAGCAAAAGCTTGTACCTGGGATTTCCACCTGAAGCAGTGAAAGAAATTTCAGGATGAAGATGGGGATCCAGCAGAGCGCGTCAGTAAAGACGATGAGGAAGAAGCGCTTGGCGAGGACCACCTCCCGCTTCACCTGCTTCTGGATCTCGGTCGCTGTGATGGTGCTCTGGTGGACGCTGTAAAACATGCTGCCGTAGGAGAACACGATGATGATGAACGCCACCAGGTTGATACCTGTGCAGACAACAAGAAGAGCAGTAGAGCGTGTTAGCGCTCTCCTAGGAAGAACAGACAAAGCAGGCCGTAGACGGCACTGTTAAAGACCGCGGAGCCCTTAAAGTGGTACTTAATTATTTACGCACTTCATTTTGGTGACAGGGCCTTACTGTGGAGTTCAGGCTAGCCTTCAGCTTGACCAGGTAGCCTAGGCTAGACGCCAGCTCACAGTCCTGCTGCAGATTACAAATGTGTACCAGGTCTCCTTCCTGACCTCCGTTTCCACTTCTACAGTCTCATCCCCATTGCTGTCACGGACTACTTCCAGGTCTTCCTGTGTTCCCCAGGGACTCTGCAGATCCTCTGGACCCAGCCTTCCTCCCATACCCCATCCCTCTGTGTCAGCCACCCATACCCAGAGACACGCTCTACCTGGGAACGTGCTGGCCACTGGGAATCAGGTAGGCACTGATTCTCTCACTCTCCTTCCTGTCCTTCAATTCCAGTTCCCTAGTCCTCACCCCAGTCTCACGGCAGCTCTGTGGCAGACCACCGACAAGCGCCTGTCCTTCCTCTCTGATTGCACTCTTTGGACACTACCTCAAACCTTCCAACAGACCCAGCTCTCCTCCCTCTTGTAGACTCTGGTGGTCCCACCTCTCTTACCGCCCACCCCCATTCCTTTATGTCAGCTCCCAATACCTAGAAATACATTCAATCTGGAACTCCCAGTAGCCACACCTGACAGGGACTCAAAAGCACTCCCTCCCAGGCAACCCACAGCTACCATACTCTCCGAAGATCCAGAGAGGATAACAGAAGCAAGAACATTCAACCTATCAAAGACAAGACCTGACGTCAGCACCTAACTCATACTGATTCCAAACCTGCTGTGGGGTAATGGTCTTGTATTCTGTCATTTGTATTATTTTAATAAAACGCTGATTGGCCAGTAGCCAAGCAGGAAGTATAGGTGGGGTAACCAGAATAGGAGAATTCTGAAAAGAGAAAAAGGTTCAGTCTGCAGTCATCACCCAGATGCAGAGGAAGCAAGACGAGAATGCCTCACTGATAAAGGTACCAAGCCACGTGGCTAATATAGACAAGAATAATGGGCTAATTTAAGATGTAAGAATTAGTTAATAAGAAGCCTGAGCTAATATGTTAACCAGTTTATAATTAATGTAGACCTCTGTGTATTTCTTTGGGAATGAAGGGCTGCAAGACCAGACAGGACAGAAACTTCTGTTAACACAAACCCATTTGCCAGTGCAAAAAACAAAACAAAACAAAACAAAAACAAAAAACCAAAAAACCAAAAAAAAAAAAACCCCAAAACCCAAATAGATCCATAGATCCATATTTATTATCCTGAACAAAACTCAAGTTAAAGTGGATCAAAGACCTCAACATATGTTGAATATACTCAATCTGATAGAAGAGAAAGTGGGAAATAGTTTTATCATAGAAAAAGATTGTTTCAACGGGCACTTCCAACAACAATTAATAAACGTGACCTCATGAAACTGACAAGCTTCTGTATGGCAAAGGACACCACCGTTCAGAAAAAGCAGTGGGCCGCAGAATGGGAAAAGATTTTAATTAGTGACACATTCAGTATCTAACATATATAAAGATGTAAAAAGAAAAAAAGAACTGGACATCAGTAAAATAAACCAATGAAAAAGTGGGGTACAGACTTAAAAAGACAGTTCTAAAAGAGGAGACACAAATGGCTCAGGAACATTTAGAGGAGCGTTCACCAGCCTTAGTCATCAGGGCAATGCGAATCAAAACTCATTTGAAATTTCCTCTGACACCAGTTGCAATAACCAAGATCCATAAAACACATGACAAGTCATGCTGGTAAGGATGTGCTGGGAATTGAACTCAGGACCTTTGGAAGAGCAGGCAGTGCTCTTAACTGCTCAGCTATCTCTCCAGCCCATGCTTAACTTTTAATAAGTCTTTTATTCTTATTTTTTGTTTGCTTCTCAGAATCACTTCGTACACAGAAGTCATGAATCCTTTTGACTCAAATATTGTTGAAGTAATGAAGGATGGTATGTTTAATTTTAACTTAGCATATTAAATAAATTTGACAAATATCACGGACCATTTGCTCTCTAATATTAATGATACTTTCTCACAATTTAAAAACCTTGCGCTCTACTTTGAGAATATTTTCATTTTTTGGTTTAGAACAGTTTTCACATATATGCTGCAGCCAAAGTTATGCATGCCTGTACATAGGAATTTGAAAAATAGCAAATATCATTATGTTTATATTATTGGGGTAAATATGTGAAATGTAATCGCTTAATGTTTTTTATTGGATACATCAGATTGGAATTTAGCTGATAAAAGTGTCATTTGAGGGGAAAAGAATTCTCCCTTGGTATTCTGATTCTGTTGCATTCACCCCTCCAGCCGCAGGTTGGAAGGACAGAACTTTGTAATAATAGAAGGCGTAAATAAATGAGTCTCCCGCTGTGAATGACTCTAGCTAGAGCTGAAACACACAAAGGCTGGCAATGCAGGGTTTCTTCTTTTTCTTTCTTTCTTTCTTTCTTTCTTTCTTTCTTTCTTTCTTTCTTTCTTTTTTTTTTTTTTGGTTTTTCGAGACAGGGTTGCTCTGTAGCTTTGGTGCCTGTCCTGGAACTAGCTCTTGTAGACCTGGCTGGCCTCGAACTCCCAGAGATCCGCCTGCCTCTGCCTCCCAAATGCTGGGATTCTTACCAAGAAAAATCACCACGGAATAGATCTGGGCTCCGGTACTTCCCGAGTCCTCTGAGTGGAGTGGAAAGCACACTCCGTTCGTGCCGTAGTAGTTTCTGAAGAATTCCTTATTGCTGAGTGGAGCAAAAGCCACTATGAATCCAACAATCCAAATGAAAGTCAGAACCGTGATTGTTCTGCATTTCCGAGGCCTGAGACACCGAAAAGGATACACGATGCAGATGTATTTTTCCAACGTTAGGAATGTTAAAAGCAGAACGGATACTTCTGTGGATAGAATGGCCAAAGACCCCATAAGCTGACAATGAGCGCTCTCCATCCACGGCTGGGCGTGTTGGTTATATTCGCCCCGAAACTTGAGGTCAAAGGCTCCAATCACGAATAAATATACTCCCATTAGGCAGTCAGCACCTATGAGAGTCCAAAGTTTACAGGTTCAGAGAAACACAAAGTATGCTTATCTTTACACGAAACATTTTTTTAAACGATCCAGTTTCTTCTGTATTAAGAAGAGACACATTTTACTCTCTTAATCTCTCTGGCCTCTTTGGCCCCTTTCTCTCTTTTACAAGATTTTATTTTTATCATGCATGGGTACATCTGTGTTTGCATGTGGGTATGTGCACATGCTTGTATTCACCCCTGGAGACCAGAGATGTTGAAGTCCTTGGAGCTGAAGTTACAAGCCACCGTGTACGGGGGCTGGGAACCCAGTTTGGGTCTTCTGAAGGAGCTGTGTGTGCTCATCACCACTGAGCCATCTCTTCAGTTCCACAGAATTTATTTTCTAGTAGCAACAGTTTTGCACCGAGCTCCTCTTTAACCGGGAGATACTCACAGCAGAGAGAAATGATGGACAAGGCATGCAGCTTGTTCTCAGACCTGATGTAGGGTCGCATACAAATGACAAAAATGTTTCCAAAGCAGGTAACTGCAGACACAACCCAGACAAAGACTCTCTGAATGATGTTTGCCAAGAGGTTCTCCAGAGACGAAATTCCATCCGTGTTGGGCTTACAGCTGCGCACGTGTGGGGCATAGCCACAGTACTGAAATCTCTTAAAATAGCTGACGTATAAAGAGAAGACAAAATTAGAGCGTATGTTTAACATTAAGTTAAACATCACTGATACTTGTTTTCAACATTTTCTCAGTCGAAAATGTGTTCAAATAAGATTTCGTGGAATAGGAAACATTCCTTACTGATTCCTCATGATTCTGAAGTTCAAAATTTAATTCTTAGTCACTTGGCTTTACAGTAAAAGAATGTGTGGATAAGAACTGAAAGCGGGTGTAATGAATACACGTTAGACATGGCTTAGCATGTGCATAATTGGTTAGCTTGTGAACATGAGAAGCAATTTATCCAAAGACGCTTTCAGTGACTGTTTTCAGAATTTGGTCCTTATAAAACACGGTTATGGAGTTTTTATAGCCATAACTTTGCCACAGCTGATCTTACTGCTAGGCTCTTGGGTAAAAAAATCAAAAGCTTTCTCCTTGCTGCTTCCATAGCTTTTTGTCATAGAAGTTATAACATAACATTACATCAACTTATTATCAATAACTGCTAAACATATCTAACACTCGCACTAGATTCTGAAACACAATGAAGAATTAAAATGTTTTCTTCTATAGATACCCACTTTGATAAAGACAGCATCTGGATAAACAAGAATCACTGTGTGTCAGCAGCAACACAAACACCACTTCTAGGGCATCTTTTAGACATCAGAAATAAATGAATTCCATCAGATCAGTAGTAGCACCGCCATAATAGGAGATGGAGAAACATTTATTCTAGTAATTGTAGATATTAGAATTCAGACTGTGCCAGTCTGCCTCATAGGCAAAGAGGGGTAGCAAAAACCTTAGAAATTATCTCTGCAGTATAAAAAGTTGCAGTAGTAAATGGTACAAGGCAGATGGTTATTTTGTGGCTTGCAGAAGGCAAGGTCAGTTGCTGGTGTGTCCATTTGCTTGTTTTATTTCTCTGTGAGCTGTGATGGGGTGGAGCAGAGTATAAGGGAGGATGTGATGCTTCTTCTTAAGTGTCTTGGAGTGAACTGCTTTCATGGAAAGAACTTCAGCAGATACTTGATTGCTAGTTTAGCTGCATAGCATAGACTCAACTTTTAGCAACAGTGTCTTGATTTCTTCTGAGGGAAGTCATTCTCTAGTCCCAGGACCCTCAGAGGACGTACAGTGGAGACCCTCCCCTAGTCCAGGGTAGGCAAATACCCTATAAGGAATCCTGAGCCTAGTGCTGCCGTGTGAGCGGCTAATTTCATCACTGTGTGGAAACTCTTGTTTCCACAATACCTGCTCAACTCGTTCCCCTTTTAGTTATTTCTCAGTTTTACAAGCTACACCAGTTTCTTCCAATCAACTCAGTTTTTCTGGGTCAGACTGTTTTGTTGTAGGCAAGCAAAGAAACTTATAAAAGCCTTGTTTCTGAGAAATCACGGGAACATAAACGATGTCCTACGTTAGACTTACAGTGCCAGGAAGATTGCAGTGTGGCTGACAAGGTACTTCTAAGTCATTGAAAATTGCCAGTGTGAAGAGCAATCTAGTACTTCTATCAGCTTCGAGCACTTGCTATGAGCTTCACTTAAAATATTTAGAAAAGTTATAATCAGTGCAAAACAAGACACACTGCATGGAATTTACAAAGGCTATCATTTCATCCTTGCACTTCCTCTGATCACACTCTGACATTAGCATTGTAACATACAGTTTGGAAGAGGGGCTTAAATACTAAGCATACAGAGGCAAATTAGTAGAAATTATTCACATTTTATTTGCATTTAGTATGGGGGTATTATCATAAGACATGTGGGGACACAGATTAAAATGATGGTGAACGACAAGCAAGCATCTACTTACATGTGAGAGAGATTCACGAGAGGCCTGAACATGCTCTGCTGGATATTCGTGATCTCAATTCCCTCTAGGCTGCTGAAAATACCAAGTAGTGGTCAAGAGAACATAGGTTATCCACAGGTGAAGGGCAATGCAGTCAAATGCTTTAGGTTAGCATCACTCTAAGCGAAATGCTCACACTCAGCCTGCCTGAACTTCCCCCAGGTTATAGACATGGACAGCCTATTTTAAAAATATTCCCAGTTCACAATATACTGCCTAATGCATGCCAGCTGCTCAATAAATATTTGTAGAGTAGGGGCATGCACATTATATTCTGGACACCTATAAATTTTCCTAATACCTTTTAAGTCTTACTTTTCCCCAGTGAAGTGCTATTTTCCTGTAGACTAGTTAAATGAGATGAGCTAAGACTTATCTTCTAAAGACCCTTCTTAGCATTAATAGAATTTTGTCCTTTTTGTGTTGTGGGAGGCATGATTCACATAGTCTAGAAAACTCTATTTTAGGATAGGGATGCTAATCTTGGTGTTTAACTTGACATGCTTAAGAAGAGGGAACCTCAGTCGAGGAAACTGCCTCCATCATTTTGGCCAGTGGGCATATCTGTGGGCATATCATATTTTCTTGATTAATGGTTGATAGGGAGGGAGGGCCCAGCCCACTGTGGGCAGTACCATCCCTAGGAAGTTGACTCTGGGTTGTGTAACAAAGTCTGCAGTGAGAGCTAGGGAAGCAAGCCAGTAAGTAGCATTCCTCCATGGTTTCTGCTTTAAGCCCTGAGTTCCTCTCTGGTTTTCCTCAATGATGGACTGTAACCTATAAGCCAAATAAACCCTGCTCATGTTGTTTTTGGTGAGTGTTTTATTACAGAAATGGAGACACAAATTAGGACATACACCCATAGAAAATCTCAAGTACTCAGAACTAACGGGGCCATGACTATGCCCCATACACGAGAGATATAAATGCACAATTCAGTATTTCTGGGGGCAGAGATGTAGGGATTCATTATCGCTTAATTTTTAGTTTATTAACATTGAGGCAGAAGTAATAGCTGTCTATAGTCAATCAATGATTCATATATTTTTGTGGAGCTGGAAATAAAACATAATTAAAGACATAAGAGCATGTGTGCTATTAGTATTGAAGCAAAACTGTATATGGCTATACTTACAGAGACTTGAGTTTGGAAAGATCATCAAATTGATTTACTTGAATTTTCTGGATTGGATTATAGGAAATATTCCTGTTTAAAAAAAAAAGCAACATCATTCCTAAAATTTGCTTGGGCCAAGAGAATATATTTGTTGACTTTGAGTGAATTTAAAACACTTACCAAAAAAGTATAGTATAGTTCAAAGTGTCTTGAAGATTTAAACGTAAGACCTGAGACTGTAGAGAAGGACCTCCCTGACACTGGCCTGGCAGTGACTTCTAGAACTCAGACAGTAAAAACCGGGATGTGATTTCCAAAATGCAGACAGTAACAGCAACAAGAGATAAAGAGGATCACATTAAGGCCAAAAGCTTCTTCCCACCATCAGAGAAGACCACAGCATGGAAGACATGATTCGCAAAGCCGTCTCTCTTTCCTCCACGGCTTTATTCTTTTCCAGGGACCACAAGTACACACTCTACCACTGAGCTACCTGCAAGCGTATCTCAGGGGATGGAGTAAAATCTACAAAGATATAAGGAACTCAAATCAATAGTAAAGAGACAAGTAATCCGATTAAGAAAAAGAGTAAGCCTCTGAGCTGACATTTCTCCAAGGAAGACGCACAAGCAGCCAACAGATATATGAAGCACTTTGTTAGAAAATGCTAACTTATTTATTAGAGACAACATATGGCTGAGGATGAATTACATCCCACAAGATCTGACCTTGACTTTTGAACTCCTGAACTTCAAGAACAGCGAGCCACACAAAATTAATTCTATTGTTTATAAATTAGCCAGGCTGTGGTAGCCTCCTACACTAACAGAAAATGGACCAGATCAACACCAGTGAAGAAGATATTCTTGTGCATGGCATTGGAAGACTCAGTCCATATTAAAGTTTATGAATTCACGTAAGACATCAAAGAAGCCCAAACAGCAAAAGCGATCTTGAAAAAAAAAAAAAAAAGAACAAGGAAGTCAGGGTTTGCACAGTCACCCACAGCTGCGCAGACCAAAGGGACTGACTACAGAGCCCAGCAACAACCCCACTCAGACATAATCAGATAACGTTTGACACGTGTGCCAAAGGCATTCAACAGGGAAAGGACAATCTTTCTAACAGTGATGGGAAAATTGAATAGAAACGGACCCTTCCGTACCATGTTCACATGCTTAAAAAGAAAGCTATCACACTAGAAGAAAATATAGGAAGAAAACGCCACTGTGTGGATTTGGCAGTGTCATGTATTTATTGTGAAACTTGAAGTAAAGACAATAAAGCAAAGGATTAAAAAGTGACAGTGTATTAAAATGAAAGAACACTGCATCAGAGGGACCGGCCACCCACAATAGCGGGAAAATACGAGTCTGGGGCTGAGCCCCAGGAAGGATGGAGATGAGAGCTCAGCAAGTGCAAAAGCAGCTCACGTGGAAACGAATGAAGAACTTGAGTAGTTTTCTTCCGCCAAGAAGACAGACAGGTGACCAAACACGTGGGAAAGATGCTCAACATCACTGATATCAGAGCGACTGAAAATCAGATCCTCCAGGATGCGCAGTTGAGACTGCTGTGAGCCAGAAAAATGAAAGCAGCAGGTGTTGGGACTGCAGAAATGAGAACCCTGTGCCCTGATGGTAGAGATGAAGGATGGCACAGCTCTGATAGGAAGTAGGATTAAACAGAACAAAGGTAGAACTGCCGTGTGACCCAGCCCCCACCCAACGTCGAGGGGTGTAGAGGTGGTTTCTGGTCCATTATGTTCTCACTTTACAACAGTGAAAAACAACCTTTAGCGGAAGCTGTGCTTTAAGGGAGGTGGTTAGTGGTATAGTACTCGCATCCCTGAATTCCAGCACAGCAATACTGAGGAAGGAAGGGAGGACGGGGTAAGGGAAAAGATCCTATTTGGTCTTTCCTTGGGATAGCAGTGTGTGTTATGATATAATGTGTACTGCAGCTCCCAGCCAGCCATGAAAACACAGGAGTACAAAACTGATACTCTACGGTGAACTGGTTCCTAAGTGACCGTAGTTGATAGGGTAGGTGCATTAAATGAACTTTAAAAATAACAGTTCTAATTTATGATGCCCTCATTGGGTGTATTTAAGTTTGCTGTGAGCTGAGAAGGCGCACAGAACCCAAATGAATGAGTGTGGGCATCCAGACACGAGCTTGCACACAGGTGGAAGCAACCTAAGAGCCCACGCGTTGGCAGATGGCTGTATACAGAGTACGAGGTGCTGTTTCAGCTTTCAGAGCAAAGGGAATTCTGACACAGACCACCACGCGGATGCACCATGTTGGTCTGGTAAAGAGAAATAAGCCAGCCACAAGATGGCAACTACGACACAGAGAGAGCGAGCACGGTGGGGCTTGCCAGGACTGTGGCGGGATGAACATGGTGTTACTGCTGGATGGCTACAGGGTGTCAGCTCTGTACTCAGTGGGAAGCTAGGAGGGTGGATGTTGGTGAGAGCTGAACAATGATATGGAAGATCTTGATGTAATCCAGTGGTACAGAAACAGATGGAGGACTCAGTTCTATGTATATTTAACCACAATTGAAAAGTAAGATAAAGAAAGGAAGTGGTTAAGTTAACGTCTTACAATTGTGTCAGCTCCTTCAGATCCTTAAAGATGTTTGGTGGAAGGTTTTCAATCCGATTGCTTCCCAAGTCCCTAGAGAAACAATTGCAAGCAAATCATATTATTGTTTTCTGAAGACTTCATTCATTGGTAGAAAATTTATTAGAAAACCATTTGCAACTTTCCAACAGCTCCATCCGTTACTTGTTTTAAATACCAAGAAGTAAGTGTCTCCTTTTTGTGTGCAATGGAGTCACAGCCTCTCTCCTTATCAGCATGTGCCCTACCACTCCAGGTCCTGGAAGTTGAGAGGCTTCACAGAGGGAGTGGAATAGGGGCACAGAACATTTTATCCTGAGCCAGGCATGGTAGTACACACCTATAATCCCAGCATTGGGGAAGCAGAGGCAGGAGGATCAGAAGTTCCTGGACATTCTCAATTATGACTGAGTGTGCGCAAGGCCAGCATGGGCTACCAAAGCTCTTCCTCCATTTCATGTTTCCTTGGAGACAGATCACTGATGGTATTTAACGTGGCTCGGACATATTAATTTCATTTATGGACTGTATGATGTCCCTTCTGCCTCTCTCTTCCCTTTCTCCTTCTCTGTTTGAGAACATGACTTGAGGCCCTGGTTTTTCTTTTGCCCGGGTTCATTATGATGACCTCAAAGCATGCCATTTAAGGTTCAAATTTCTTTCAGAGAGACGCACAGGCTTCTACTCTCCTGGGCAGGATGCCCATGTGCAGAGGGGGTGCCCAACATGACGTCACCTCGGAGCTACAAGGGCTTTCAGCAGCAGAAGCGGTGACATTTCTCCAGCGACAGATTTCATGAGAAAGACTGCAGCTTCTTTGAAACAAGAAGACGTCTCGGTGAGCTTGAATTAGGTGACTAAATTCAAGCAGAAAATGTAACTTCCCCCACGCACCTCCGGGGGACAGACAGGAGAAAAGCTGGGCTTATGTTGCCTATGCCAATTGGCTAATCAACTCTGAAGGGCAGAATGATTTATTTTTAGTTTTTTTTTTTTATTATTTAAAAAATTTTGTATGTGTCTGTGTGTGGCTAGGTGAACAGCGTGGAAGAGCTTGAGGGATGAAGAGTATCAGATCTCTGGAGAGATGGTGTTACCGTCCTTGTAAGCCACCGACAGGGTCCTGGCTACTGAACTGGGGTCCTCGGCAAGGGCAGTGCATGCTCTTAACCAACGACCGTATCTCAAGCCCTGACCGAACTTACTTCAACTATTTATTTCATATTTTATTTTATGTTTACTTTTGTAAGCTATCTGAATTGTTTTGTGATCCATGTTACATATAAATACTGTTTGGAAAGAGAAATTTAATATTTCTGAAATATATGAATATTATATGCATAAGTAATACAAAGCAAAATGGACAAAAGCATTCTTAATACATATTTAGTTAAACTTACAATTCATCTAGTTTCTGGAGGTGTGTAAATGCATGTTCACTTAAGTGATTAATTTTGTTTTTCCTCATTACCCTGAAAGTAAAAGGAAAAGTAAGCATTAACATGTTAACATAATGATCACATGGATTACTAAATATAACTGCTACAAAGATAATGAATATAGAGTGCATTTTTTTAAATTTATTAATTTATTATGTATACAATATTCTGTCTGTGTGTATGCCTGCAGACCAGAAGAGGGCACCAGACCCCATTACAGATGGTTGTGAGCCACCATGTGGTTGCTGGAAATTGAACTCAGGACCTTTGGAAGAGCAGGCAATGCTCTTAACCACTGAGCCATCTCTCCAGCCCTAGAGTGCATTTTTTAATTTAAAATTTTTATACAGTTTATATATCAACCACAGTTCTTCCTCCCCTCCTTCTTCTCCCCGCACCTCCTGCTCAACCACTCTCCGTTCACCGCCTCTGTGGAGTAAGTCAACAAAGCCTGGCACATTAAGTTGAGGCAGGACCAAGCGTCCTCCACCCCCCTCCCCCACATCAAGGCTGAGCAAGGCTTCTCACCATAGGGAATGGGATCCAAAAAGCTCATGCATGAGGGATAGATCCTGATCCCACTGCCAGGGGCCCCTCAAACAGACCGAGATAGAGTGCATTCTCATGTCAGGATATTTTGATTAGTATGATATTATTTATTTCAAAAACAGTCTCAACTATGCAGTCCTGGCTGGCCTAAAACTCATGGCCTTTCTGCACCAGTCTCTTGGGAGTTGCAATTACAGGTGTGTGCCGCCACACCCAGCTTCAGTTCAATTTTCTTCTTAAATTTCCTGAGTCTTTTTAACAGGGACCATATGAAATGTAATTTAAATTTGTAATTAGAAATGAAGAAGGGCTTTGAAAGGAATAGGGAAACCTCACCTCTCCTTAACAAGAACTGAGCGTTTTGCAGCTATGAGCTTGGGAATTGTTTTAGACTTACCTCCTCAATCTGCCAAGTGTGTCTGTCTAACAAAAGGCTCCATGCACCACAGAGCTCTTGTTTGCTAGAGCATAGAATTAGGATTGAAATGCTTGAGAGAAAGTTGTCTGAATGGACCAGTTCAATGTCTCTTTAGTTTGGAAACATGAGTCAGACTGTAGTGCTTGTTCTTGATCGCGCGTGAGTGTGCGTGTGTGTGAGTGTGAGTGAGAGAGAGACAGAAAGTGACAGAGAAAGAGACAGATAGGAGAGGGGGGGTTGTTTGAATCTAGGACCTCACACATGCTTCGCACTTGCTGTACTTTAGCTCCACACCCTGTCCCTGTCCTTTCTTCACGATTTCTGTTAGCTACCAGCATAAATGGCTAATTTGGGAAATTTCAAAGGGCTTCCTACTCTTTTATTTAAAAACTTTTAAACTTAGTTTATAAAATAATGGGATTCATATATATATATATGCCATAATACCTCATTTTTATTCATACCGTGACCCCTCTGTTGCCCTCAGTCTCACCTGCCTTACTCTTGCTTGTTCCCTTCCTCTCCCCAAATGGTCCTTCAGTTTGCTTTGATGTGATATATGCACTATTGGTGTCTTTACTCTCCTCTCCAGCTCCTTAAGATCTCTTCCTTCTCCTCATGGTCCCCTTTCTACTTTCATAACATGCGAGCACACGCATGTGTGCGCGCACGCGCGCGCGCGCACACACACACACACACACGCACACACACACAAATACAAATTCGATTCCATTTATGAGAGAAAACGTGCAGTGTTTGCCTTTGAGTCTGGCTTATTTCACACGCACAGACAAAGACGACACACCTTCCTGCCTCTGCACACACTCAGGCCAGGTTCTGCCCATAGACGAGATTCGTGTGGTTTGTAAGGGGAGTCGATATTACTTTAAAAAAAAAAATAGTACTTACAAAACAGTTAAATTATTGCAGGAGATAAAAGTCAAATTTCTTATATTATGGATATGGTTGCCTTCAAAGTCCCTAGAACATAAAAATAAAACACAATCAAATTAAACCGTAGACCCCTTTGGGTGCTCGCACTGTGTGGGGCTGTCATCTCAAGAACTCTAGTTGCAGCATTGAAAGGTACCTTTTTTTCTTTGTGCACGGAGCATCAAGTGGAAGGCTTTGCATATAAGATGTTAGTGCCCTACCACTGAGTTGTGTCCCCAGCTTGTTCTCACACGGCCCCTCTTCTTTGACCCATCACTAGGTGTGTGGTAGAAGCTGGCAGAGCCGAAGGGGGTGATAGATTGCCTTGGACACTGCCCCTGGGTCTAAGGGCATCACACACTTTTGTGTGTAATGGTCGCCAGATGGCATGGAGTTACTCAGAAACGACAGTGATTCATGCACGGTACACGTGTGGAAGAGCTCCCGAAACCGCTAAGGAGAAGTCGGAAAGCTCTAGAGAAAAGCCAGTGTCCGCCAGCTTCGGGGGACCGCCAGCCTTGCTCTGGGAACTGCACCGAGGCTGACACCGACCGAGTGAAAGAGTGGGGGGATTGGGAATTAATGGATCGAAAAATCGAGTCCGTTGAAGATGAAGGTGTAGTGAGGATGGAGAGTATTCTAAGAGAAATGCATTTGAAGTCAGGCTGTAGAACCAACAGCCGACTGACCCTCTGGCTGCTAATGCTTAGAGTCTCGACCTGGTGTAGGCCTTTTGTTGGTTTTTAAATCAAATGTGTATTTTTATTTCTATTTATTTTATTTTTAACTTTTAAAATTTTTATTTTTTAAAATTCCTTTTATTTTATTGCCAAGGGTTAATCATGAACCTACCACCAGGTGGCAGTGCTCTCTAAAAAATACTCAAAGTGTTGGCCTGCTGCAGCTCTCTATAATCTCAGCACGGCGGAGACTGGGGCAGGAGGATACCCGTGAGTGAGTTCAAGGCCAGCCTGGGCTACATAATGAAACCTTGTTTTTACGAAAAAAAAAATAGTCTTAATTCACATTTGTGTGTGTGTGTGTGTGTGTGTGTGTGTGTGTGTGTGTGTGTGTGTGTGCGCGCGCGCGCTTGGGATTCAACCCAGGATGCTGCGCACTGAGTAAACTCTCAACCATTGAGCTCCCGCTCTGGTTTCACAAGGTCCACCGTTTTAACTGTTGATTGCTTGTGCAAGTACTGCTCAGCTGCCTTTCATCACTAATTAAAACGGCGGTTAGGGAGCCCTTTTGAATCAGGCTTCACTTACGAAGAAGGTCCCGGATTCAATGTTTCCTTTTCGTTCTGGCTTCCGCTTGTTGTCCACGTACAGAAAGAGCTGGGCTGTTGCACCAAAATGCCTCTGACCTTAGAAATGCGTGTGAAATGCTTACTTCCCCGGAGGGATTCTAAGTGAGCACAGGCCAAAGCTGCTTTGTTGTTTACCTGATCCCTTTCTCTTGTGTTACAATCGGGTTGACAGCTGTTGACTACTCACAAACACCATGTTTCTCATTATCTTCCTGTCCTTGTAATTTAAGACCTTTAGTTTGCTGTGAACTTAGATACCAAACCATCAACATTTGAATATTTCTTATAAAACAAGATGTAGAAGGTTTTCCTGATTCTGGTAGGCAGTTTGTGGATTGAACTTTTAAGTAATAATTTTGGTTATTTCTTAATTTAAAACAGAACAAACCCCTTTAGTCTATTGTTTTTTTCTATGGCCTCACTCCATACACCTGGCTCCCTTTGAACTTATGGTGCTTCTCCTTCCTTGGCCTCTTGTTTTAACCTCCTGAGATTACAGGTGAGCCACCACACCTGACCAAACCTATATTCTAAATAAACAAATTACTGCTGACTGACCTCTCCCTAGTGGAGTGATAGTGATATTTGTTACCAGGTAAAGCCACTGTGCCAAAAAAAAAACTACACAGAACTGGTAAGGGACTGTCTGAAAACATCCCACAGCCCCATTCTCTCATGGTTAGTGCTAAGCAACACATTCTCACTGCTCAGAATTTAGGGAGAACATTAAAACGATTTAGCTTTCTGTGCCAACTTAATAGGTGAGTGATTTGGCAGCCGGAAAAGGAAGTGCGATGCCAACCACGTGACCCCCTTTCTGTCTTCCTTCTTTCCGGCTCCAAAATACTTTTTTTCTCTTCCAGATATTGCATTTTGGTGAACATTTATAGAAATTAGCCACTGAGTATGTTTAATATGAAAATACAATAAAATAATGCAAGGAACTTGATACACTAAGCACCTGGCACAGAAGACCCCTGGTGTCTTAAGTAGTCAAATTCAGAATATGTAAAATGTACATATATAAGTAAATATATATGCATACATATACATATACATGTGTGTGTGTGAGAGAGAGAGATACAGGGAGAGAGAGAGAAAGAGAGACCGACTTACAGCCAGTGTAGCCGGGGCATGTACTGACAGAGGGGTTTGTCAGGCAAACGGGTGAGGACATTATCCATCAGCACTCTAGAAAGGAAAGAGACCACCAACATCACATTTTCTGGTTCTTTTCTATCTCTAGGCAAACACAGTTATTGTTACTATTCGGAAACTGCTAGACTCTTGAGCTGCAAGTCTCTCCGCCACCTTCTTTCTACACACCCCAAAGTACTGAAGTGCTTTGGTAGTAAGAGCATTTCTATACACGCCAGGTCTCAAGCAGGGAGCAGCAATGCCAGTCTTTGGACGAAGCCTGCGCCCATCAGCAGTGGGCTGTACAATGGCAGTGTGTGAGGCTTTTCCTTTGTGGGGGAGTTACTGGGTAGGACGGGCGGTGCTTAGGAGTACTTGTGGGCCGCACAACTGGGAGTCTGTGCTCAGACTGGTCCAGCAGGACTTTGTTACAAAATGCTCAGACCAGTAGCCTTAGACATTATAGGCAGGTAGGTCTTAGTCAAGAAAGCTTCCTTTAGGATTTAATAATTGCAAATTTAATGCTACTATGCTTAATGCCTTAATTCTTTTATTTCTGTCTCTTTTTTTCAATTGGAATAGTTTAAATTTTTTTTGCTACATTGATTTACTTATTTATTGCTGTTTGTGCATGTGTGTGTGTGTGTATGTGTGTGTGTGTGTGCGCCAGTCTTTATGTAGAGTTGATAGTCAGCTGCAGTTGGTCTTTCTACCCCTTAGGTCCAGGAAATTGGACCAGGCTGGCATGAACCATCTCACTCACTGAGCCATCTGGCCCCCCTGCTTGTTTTGAGTACTTACAAGAGAATGAGAGAATTCAGTCCATAAAATGTGAGTGGGGAGATTCGGCTGAGGTGATTGTCTTCGATTATCCTGTCAGCGGGAAGAGAGCAGAGTGACATATGTATTTTCGGCACATCAGAACTAATACAAGGAAATGCCACACAAATGAGACGTACAGCCATTCCAGCCTGTGCAGCTCTTCAAACACTCCCGGCTTCAGGAAGGTTATTCTGTTATGGCTGAGATACCTGGGAAGAAGACACAACCGCAACGAGTTTATTCTTTTCGATGTCCCCCCCCCCCCCAGAAGGACGGTGGCGACTGTCATCACCCTTCCGGAGTCCCCTCCTAGAGCACGCTCTTCCTGCCGCTTCCCGCTTGGACGTCTAAGGGCCCTTGCCTCCGACGGTGTTGTTTCTCGCCTTTCATTTCCCATAGTTGGCTAAAGAATTGGCCTATGTTTCAATGACCTACTCTGCTGGATAGCTTTCTGTGGGTCAAAGGCTTGGTTCCCAGGGGGCACTGTTGGGAGGAGCTGAGGACCTTTCGGGAGTCCCTGTGGGAATCCTCAGGTCATTGGGGATGCTCTTTTCTGTGGTGCACTTGAAGGATGTCTTTCTCTTCCTTACCTCCCAGCCATGAGGTGGGTGAGTGCTCACCACGAGTTCCCACCGGCTTGTGGTGCCTCAACCACAATGACTGTCCCTTCTGCACTACTTGCAGACCCTTGGCACCATCCTCGAGCAGGAGAACTGGTTTGGGCTGGAATGGGTTAGCCTGACAGGATGCTGTCGGTCCAGGGAACCGTTTAACCTCCCTTCAGTCCCCCCATCTGTGCTTACAGTTTGGTGAGGCTGCGCAGTCCTCTGAAAGCCGAGACGGACACGAAGCGAATCTTATTGTTTTGCAGGCACCTGTGAGCAGGAGCAGGCAAAGAGAAAACAGGAAAACATCAGCTTTGCAGAATGGAAGAGCCTGCATTGGCAGCGGCACGCGCATGTGCGGATGGCCTCTGTCAGCCGAGATAAGCGCATTTTACTGAGAGTCTTTTTACTGAAATTAGAAATTGACTTGAGGGGAAAGGGGACACGGTAGATCAACTGGTTGAAACTGGTATTTTGTTGCCAAATTTGTGCCAGCTTGGGCCAGTTTTTTTTTTTTTTTTTGCCAGTTTTTATTTACAAGTGGAAGGTGTAAATGCAAACAGTATCAAACTGCCCTCTAAGTGTGTGTCTACTCAGCTCTGGACTTCCTCAGAGACGGTTCCATGTGGCGGATGCTAAAAACGGGTCAAAGTGCAGAGTTCATGTGTCGTGGGATGCTCGGCAAACGGGGACATCTGCATCACACCCCTGCCCTAGGTGCGGGGACCGTTGTGAAGGACGTACGAAGTTTGTAAGAACCAGAGGTCTGGAGGACAGGCGTGAGACAATGTGTTCTGGATGTGACCCGACTGTTCCATTCATGAGCTCACAATAGATGTTGCCTCGCACAAGGTCAAGTCAGTAGACACTTTAGCAAGGGATGGGAGGGCATCATGAGCCTCCACCCCTAACTGAGGAGCTGTTGATGGTTACTGACTTCTAGGAGGAGGGAGAGACAGGTTTCTTTAAGAGTATGAGCCCTGGTAGGTTGACTAGGTTCCAGGGGATGGCACCCCTCTGTGAGTATATGGGCAACACAAACTGGACTTAGTGGTCATTGAAAAACACACACAGAAAGAAAACACACAGCTGGGAGGGGTGGGGATGTAGGGAAGGTGGGGAGGCGAACCTGGGGGGAGTGTGGGATGAATGTGATAAAAAATACATTGTATGAAATTTGCAATCAGTAGAACTATTATAAAAATTTGAAGCATTTGTGCAACCATGTTCATAATAGCCAGAACCTGGAAACAACCTAGATGCCCCTCAACTGAAGGATGGATAAGGAACATGTGGTACATGAACACAACAGAGTACTGCACATCAACAAAAAAAATAACAACATCTTGAAATTTGTAGGCAAATGGATGGAACTAGATAAAAAACATCCTGAGTGAGGTAACCCAGAAAGACAAATGTAATAAGTACTCACTCGTAAGTGGCTTTTTAGACATAAAACTAAGAAAAACCAGCCTACAGCTCCCAAACCCAGAGAACCTAGACAACATGGAAGACCCTAGGAGGGAAAGACATGAATCCTCCTAGGAAGGAGAAAAAAGACAAGATCTCTTGAGTAAACTGGGAGTGTGGCAGTTAAGGTGGTTGGAAGGGGATAAGGGAGGAAGGAAGGGGAGTTGGGAAAATGTATAGCTCAATTAAAAACAATAAAGTATGAAAAATCATTTGAAGCTGTAAAGGTACACAGATAGGGGCCAAGGTTACCATCTAGAATTTTCTAGACAAGAACGAATGCAGAGGAAAGCTTGAAAGCCAGGCTTAAAACTTTCCTGCTACATTTATCTGGATTTGTAAGTACTCATAAAAACCCAGCCCCCCCAAAAAATGTTTGTGCCATGTTATGCCACAAACTATATTGCACAACAATACCGAAACTTAGTAAATCAAATTTAGCTTGATTAATCTGACACCCTAATCCTTGTTCACAAAAGCACATGAGACAACTTACAAGGGGTTTAAATGGCCAAAGAGTGACGTGGAAAGAAAAAAAAAATCAAGACTGGAAGATCATGAGTTAGATCGGAACGCCAAGATAAAAATACAGGCTCACAGGGTGACCTCCAGCCACCATGGAGGTTTCCGGAGTGCTTTTACACACTGAGCCGTCTTGCTGGCCCCAAGCTCAGCACACTTTCTCTGAGATGAGCATTGAGTTGATTCATGACAGGAGGAGGCAGAAATACTTATTTCCATTCTGTGGGGCATGGTGGAGGAGCCACAGCCTATGGGTTCCCATTGGTTTAGGAATTGCTATCTGACCTTTTTACTAGAATGTCTCCTAGAAACACTCAGAAGTTTTGCCTACACGTTTCCAGATAAGGGGCACATAATTTCTCCAGATGGGATTATTAGACTTAATGAATGCTATGATGCTATTCTCCACAGAAGGAACAGGAAACAAGCGCCCAAGACCGCAGGGTCATCGCAAGCCCAGCATTAGAGTTTTCCTTACAGCTTTTGGAGCTCACGGTACTTCCTGAAGCCGTTGGGAGGGAGCGTTCTTATGAAGTTCCGCCGCAGGGACCTGAAACACACACATAGTCGGGTCTTGCTGAGCAGATTTTTCACTTGAATGTCTTACTTCTAATGATATCTACCCCACGATCTTGAGCTGGAGCCTGAGCTGGATGCACTGGCTTCATGATGTGTTGGGGAGTGACTGGCAAAGCCGAACTAGGGGCTTTCTCCAAGCCCCTCTGCGCGGCTGGGCCACCGCTGAACCTTCTCTCCTCTTTATCTTAGCTTACCCTACATCCTCCCTAACCAGTGCTCTGACTGAGCTTCTGAACCAAACTCTGCCTTACAGTCTTTCGGTGTTTATACACCAAAATTTTGAAAGATATCTAGAAAAACTATGGAGATGATGGTCTCTCCCCCTCTTGTAAGAGAAGATTGGGACCCTAAAGACTATGCATGGAAGCACTTAATATTCTTAAAGAGAGGGCCAAGTATGATTCTATGAGAACCCCTAAAGCAGGGGTTAACCATCCTCCAGTGGAGTGGATTGCCATATAGGGAGGTAGGCTTCTTCAAGGGTTTCCAAGAAATCATTCTTGACAAGCTGGATCCTTATTAACACATCCCTAGGGTTTATAGACAAATATCATTCTTTCTAAATGATATAAAATATTTTAAGAAATAGCTTCATTTATATTTTTAAAATATTCTCATATTAAAAGGGTAGATATTAGTTACATTGATTATGAAAATATCCAAACACTTTTATCAATAAGATAACTTCATATTTTAAAATCTGGTATTCTGTTTGGCTCCTCACTAAATCACATGCATACACACACTCATATATAGCATGTGTTTGTCACAGAGAGCGAAGGGCAGGCCAGAGCTTCACTTTTCAGTGGTTGCATTCGGGGATCTAAAAGTCAACTCTTGAAGTTAACATTTATTGAGCAAGAACAATGCATAAATATTCATAGCTACCTGTGTTTGCCCATCTCTTTAGCATTTATTTAAAACATTTCCCCAAAGTCTCAACTTCAGTAAATACTCATTGGCTGATTGGCCTCTGAGATACTTTTCTTACATGTGAGTTAAGCCTTTCCTGAAGTTTTTCTATAATAGTTGCAACTCAAAATCTGGAGGAACTCAGTAATGGAATATGATATTTAGTCTTCAATACATGTACACTGAAGTCTAGAGATATTTTCTCCTTCTTGAACAGAGCAAACAGAGTGGAACAAGTTATGAAATTGAGCCAAGATCTGCAGAGAAGAGTCTATAGAAACAAGTGGTTTAATCAAAAGTATGGGACAATGCTGTATAGCTATATTTATTGGTATACAGACACTCAGTTTGTGTGTGCATGCATGCGTGTGTGTGTTTACAGTCCTGATGATGAATTCAGGGGCCTCATGTATTTTAAGCAAGGGCAATACTACTGAGCTATACCCCAAGTCTAATAATGCTTTTTAAAAAAATCACAAATAGTCAAATATTGTAGACTTAGACCTCTGAGCATTAAACCTATATCTATAAATGCCTGTTGACTATCACCAAATGACTTGCTAATGTTAAGCTGAAATAAGAAATCTATCATTGAAGTCTTGGTCATTCACACTTACTGGGACCTAGCCTCTTCATTCCTCCATCCATCTGTACTCCAGAGTAGGCGCCCTGAAGTCACTTCATCCACGGCCTCCACTTGTCCTCTAGCAGGGTATGATCTTAGCTTTAGTGTTTCCTCTCCATCCCTCCCTCTCCGTCTCTTCTTCCCTCCTGCCTTTGCCTTCCTTCCTTCCTTCCTTCCTTCCTTCCTTCCTTCCTTCCTTCCTTCCTTCCTTTTTCCCTAGGTTAAAGTTGACTGATACATATCTATTTATGTATGTATACTATACATATGTGGTCAGAACATTTCTTTTTTAAAATCGAATCATAATTTAACTATTTACCCTGTTCCCCCGGATCTCCCTCCCTCTAGCGTTCTTTCTCTGTTCCTTTTTTTTTTTTTCACAAGGGTTAGTTGGCTTGTTGGCAAATGGATTCCAATATTACTTGTGGGCAAATGAAAAGTCAGGTTGGCTGCACCAGTTTTTTTCATTTGGATTTTCCAGCAACTCGATGTAATCAGTGGGGGTGATAATTATTTCTCTCACTGAGGAATTTATAGAAACCCTTCCTGGGACCTCCTTCAGTTTCCTTGGAGGGAAATCATTACTTTTCCTCTAGCAGGACTAATTGCTATGATAAGTCACGGGAGGTGAGGAAGGAGGAACACTAGCAGATACTTCCTCTTTGTTCAGGAAATGCCGCTTCCTTCAGAAAGCAAGTTTGTGTAAATAATTTTTCCTATGTTCTCTGTTTATGTTCCCAGACTGAGATCCATGGGGCAGTACCCAGACTCTGCCAACTTGATGGGACTCTGCTGCAGCTCCTTTACCTGTGTGCCAAGCATCTGGGTTGTCTGGTAGGTTGTTTGAGAAAGGCAAGACTTGCCAACACCTGTATACTCAAGGGTTACTCTTACTGTGTCTGCATGAACCAGAAAGCCAGAGTCACAAGATATTAAAACACATGGAGGAAGAGCCCACACAAACAAAACCCCAACCCCAACCGGGTGAATAAAAAATATATCGAGACTTTGACTTTTCATCGAATTCTTGGAAAAAATATCTGGACCAAAAAACTATGTGTTTGTGTGCTGCTCACATCTGGTTGAGTTCAAATAACCAGAACTAGAAATTAGCACCACAAACACTGAGCCCAACAAGACACTATTACTCCTAATAGACTCCTTTTGTCTTCTGTATGTAAGTTTGAATTTCATAGGAAAAGACCACAATGTCAAGGTGATTTAGAAGTTAATTTAAATGTGAAGTTCTGGGAATAATTTATCCAATTTATTTTACTTGTTCCTCAAGTAAATTAAGTTTACTTGTACTCAAGAATACATGAAAGTGTCTTCCTGTATAATAAACTCTAAACCAGCTGTTGCAGTAAGCATCCAATAAAATTTCTGTGTAATGGGGAAAGCTGGGGATCGTCCTTTCTTTAGTTCCCCCACCCCCAGTAACAGTCAAAATGGACAGCATCTTCTGCTTGGATAAAATACAGTGAGTAGTCAACACCTCACAGAATTGTTTATGGAGTAACTTGAGGTGAGGCCTAGTATTTAAAAGTGTTTAGAACTATGTGTGAAAAGTTCGTTATAACTGAAGGACAGATGAAGTGGTCTTTGAACACAAATGCCTCGTCAGGAGTGGTGTCAGTCCGGGCAGTCTCCCTGTTGTTCTATCCAGCCTTAAGGACGAGCCAATCTTTGCTACTTACATTACAGTCACATTGGCAGAAACTGACGGGACAGCTCGTAAATTGGCTCCATCACAGTCAAGCTCTAGATCTCGGCACATACAGTGCTTGGGCACAGAGCCAACCACTGAACAGAGAGGAAGCGGGGAGGAATGATGAAGTGAGGGGCCAGGGAGAGGAGGGGACGAAGAGAAAGAAATGCAAAGCCATGAGAATATTGACGAGTATAAAAGTCTACCATGCTTTCTTTACCCAAGCGCTTGGGGGAAGGCTTTAAATTAAGGTTCCACAGTTTGCTCTGAATTTAACTTCAAGACCAGACTGGTCTAGCATTAACATTAGGAAACACATGCATTGAGGAGCCCATCCATTTTCCTTCTTCCTTCCTTCCTTCCTTCCTTCCTTCCTTCCTTCCTTCCTTCCTTCCTTCCTTCCTTTTTTTTTAAGATTGATTTTTGTGTGTCTGTGCAAGTGTATATGTGTGTGTGGTCCTGAGCACATGTGTTTGATCATGTGTGTGTGTGTTCCTGGGTGCCCAGAGGGCAGTAGATAGATCTCTTGCCACTGGTGGTCACAGGTGATTCTGAGTATCTGCTGGTGAGGGTGGGGATGGGAGGATGGGAATGGGAGAGGTGGGAGGTGGTGGACACCTAGAACCAAACTCTAGGTCTCAAGAGAAGAAAATGTTCTTGACAACTCACATCTCTGTTATGTTAATGGAAATCTGGCTAACTTGGAGTTAGGGAAAAAAGAGTTTCCTGAACAAAGTTCCTTAGGATCTTCTAAGTTCTCTAGACCTAAGAGATAAGGAAAGGAATCACACACAGTGGGATGGACGGGAAAGCAGAACCATCTTCCCAGCTCCACCTATTCATTTTAAATAATCGGATTGACCTTCATTTGCCACAAAATGAATGAAATCTGCTTCTGTCTCCAGCTGGAGAAGCGGTAGTGTGTGTGCATGTGTGTGCATGTGTGTGTGTGTGTGTGTGTGTGTGTGTCTTAATGTCCACTTGCAAGCTTCTGCTTGAGAATGAGGATCGGAAGTAACAAATAAAGCCTTTGCTGGAAGACTAAATCGTTTGAACCAAAAGCAAGAAAGGAGACCTAAGCACTGAATGGTGAGGCTTCATCCTTTCAGAAGGGTTTTCCTGGGTAGCTCAGGGCAGAGGACTGAGAGGGCAGAAACCCTGCAGGAGCTTCTGCTTGTCCACGCAGCATTTTAAATGAGCTATAACTGTCTTAAAAATAAGCAATTATATTGAAAGCACTGTAATTTTAGCTGCTTTGAAGAAGTTGGTAGACATGGCTACACATGTTCCTGATTGACAACTTTTGGAAGTGGTTTCCCTTGTTCACCGGGGCAGTAAGTGTTGGCAGCCATAGCTGCAGCTGTGAAGCTCCCAGCACCAGGGAGGAGTAAATGCGGAGGGCAACCCTCACTGTCTTGGGAGTGTCAATCCACAGCGAGCAGAAACCATACTGTGTAAGTTACACGGGATACACATACCAACGAACTGCTTAGCTGTGTGCACTGCAGGTCTCCAGGGGATTCTAGATGTGCCGAATCTCATCTTTAAGATACTCCAGCCCTGCATGATGGCTAAAAGCATCTGCCCATCCCATTCTGCGTCTTCCCACCACCCGATGTCAGTGACCTTGGAATGCCCAGCAAAGCTTCACCCCCTAAGTGCAGTTTTAGGCATGAATCACCCTATGTATGACGAGAAATGATGTTGTACACTAGCCTTTGAAGAACTGAATCCCATCACATCCCAATCAAGTTGTACCTGTTCTGCAGACCGTGGTGGCACACACCTGTGATCCAGCACTTGGGAGGCAGAGGTAGAAGGGCTGTGGGTTCAAAGCCACCCTGCTAATATAAAATCATATTAAAAATTGTTCGTGTAAGAATTTCAGCTGGGTTAAAAAGAAGATGAAAGCGCTAGCCAGTTAGTGCTTGTGGACACTGAGTAAACAATTTCTTCCTCAAATCCTTCAAAGTTAAACTTTGGTCATGCATTGGCTTTCCTGTGTATGATGCTTTCCACGACCTTCCTCCGAGGGGCAGACTTTACAATGTGAACCGCTCACATCCTTTCAAGCACCCGAAAACGTTTTTGAGCTGTTCTTAGGGAATTTCCACCAGGAATCTGATAGGAGAACAGTGCTGCAAAATAGGAACCTTAATTTAAGTTTCACCCCAAGATTTTTATCCTGTACTTGTATTTTCATGTACTGCTTGAAAAAGAGGTTTAATTTAGCAATTTTAATCCCCACTCTCTCTAAAGAAATCTAACTAAAAATCGAGCTTTGTATGTCTTCTAGGTATTGATAAAAAATTACCTCTGTGCTGATCTTGATCCTCGTTTATTGTGTGGTGCCACAACCCTTGAGTAATTATACCTATGACAAATCTCTTCCATGTTGATGGAGTGGGCTAAACAGGGCTTTCTGACCAACTCAGTCTGCTTTTTCCCCATTATTGTTGCTTTACAAACTATGAGTTAGGTAAGCTGTTGGTTCCTCTCCTTGACCTTAGTGACCTGAGCTTTGGATGTGGTCGCTGAACTCTCCTCAGCAAGAGCTTTCCAGCTCTCTTTCTATCTCCTCTCTTATTTTTCCTCCTTTCCTCTTCCATCTTGTCTCCTTCTTCCCTTCTGCCCCCCTTCCCCCTTTTTCTTTCCAGTGTTTTTGGAGACAGGTTCCCACTGCATGGCCCAGGATGGCCTTGGATGCCAGATCCTACTACCCAGGGTTCTGGTGCTATCATGACAACATTGCACATCGGGTTTGTCCTGGTTGACATATGTGCACCGTTACCAAGCATTTTCTTAGAGAATATTTTTTTGAGCCATTACCTTTTCATTTGCCATTCAATTTCTGCCTCTTATAACTTGTTAATATGTTATTGATTTCATTCTGTTAATACCTATACCTTAACATTAAATCGATAAAATTTTTTGGAATGTAGTAAAATAGAAGATTCAGTTCAATTTTTAAATAGTGTGAGATATAAAATTCAATTAAAATGTAAGAAATGGAAATTAATATATAAAATGGAAAATGAAATTACATTTTAAGATAATACATCTAGTTCATATTTCTATTATATTAATAGCAGTGCTATACCTTTTAAATTGTTTTCTTCAAAAAGGTTTTAGCTCACATTTTTTCTTTCAGCAGTATTAGAGATTGAACCTGGGGCCCCACAAACACTAAGCAAGGGTCCTACAGGAGCTGCATCGCCCCTGGACTTTTAGCTTTCTAAGGATCCAATTATTTGGCTCCCCTCTTTTGAGAGGCAGGTGTGGTGCCGCCCTAACTTGGTGGGTGCCCCTGAGATTCATGGGTGGGTGGGGGAAATGTGCAGGCCTTTATATTGTGGATTGTTGGGAGCCTGCCAATCCTATTTGAGGAGTGAAGATCAAAAGTACTAGCAATTTGAAAAGCTAAACTTTAAATTGTGGAAAACAATACAGCCAAAGAGTCCTCCTGCCCTCCAGCCCTCGGCTTGTGAGGAGAGCTTTGACATTACAGGTCCAATAATTTATTAACTGACAAAGGGCACTTAAAAGGCATTATTTTAGCAAGTATTTCTGATCTGAAACCTGACAAAGCTGCTGCTTAGGCTTCTCCCTTCTGTACCCTGTGCAGTGTCTGCAAGTGACCAGCAGGTGACTGCATAGCCAGGTGCAGTGACTCTGGCTTCCAAAAATCTGTGGTTTCAACAGCAGAAGCAAGCATTCTCCATTTACAGACGTTAGGACCCAAGCAGCGGCTCCCCTCCTCCATCTCCTTGCTTTCCTTTGCTGCAGAGTTTATGGCGGTGGGCGAAAGAGGGCATTCTAGAAAACAGCAACCCTGACCGCAGACACTAATTTTTTTTTTTTTTTCGATACCTGCTTTGATTGATTCCAGGTGCACTTGAAGATGGGATTCCAAACCAAGGCCTCCTTTCTTAAAACATTTGCAACTAGAACACTCTAATTGACTTTCAGAAATTTTGCTGTATCCAAAACGGAATAGCTTGGCATCTTACCATGAACTCATCTGCTGTGTGGCTACTTACAGCATGCAGAAGGGGGTTGTGGAGTCAGTTTGGAGATATTAGAAAAGTACTTGTCGAATTGTAGAGACCAGCCATTGTTGTCTCCTGAAAAGAAAAAAAAATCCGAGAGCGAGAGAGTCAAAAGGGAAAACGAGCAGATAGACTTCACTATCTCGGCACAGATAATCCCTCTAAACAAGCCAGTTTATCTCCAAGGTGGTTCGGTAATTACGACCAAGGACTTCCTGCAGGGGTGCGTTTCTGTCCCCAGTGGGAGGTCTGGGGTGGCCCAACTCTCCCTGCTCATCAAATAATGTCGTAGCTTCCTGCAAGTCATATGGACCACCCATGAGCCAGTGGCAGAAATGCCGAAACGTGATCCACCATTCTCCACATCGTTTTTAGTTTCCTAGACGGCCTTCATGAACGGAAACTAATCCCCGGTGTATATAGACACATATTTATTCATCAAAGCTGGTCTCTGGTAATGTTGAGGGGGCTACTGTTTCTGCCTCCCTCTCTCCCATTTTTCCACCCTCCCCTCCCTCGTACTCCCTCTCTCTTCTCTTTCTTCTTTTGCTGTGATGCTATAGATCTAACTCAGGGACTCGTACATACCAGGCAAGCGCCCTACTACTGAGGTAACACTCCCAATTTTTTTCATTCCTACAACCAAGACTGTTCTTTGTCTCAGAGCCTAGAGAGCGGTCTTGACCTTGTAGGCTGCAGGGTGGCTTGTGAAATTGTGGACCCGGCAGCCGAGGCTCATTTGGCTACACCTCTATTCCGAAGCAGTGTGGGGAAACTGACTCCCGGCATCTCTCCCGAGACACCGGGCTGTTTTGCAGGTGGTATTTCCTTGCTGCTGAAACTGACAGACGTGCCAGTGACTGACGCTTTGTTGCTTTTCTCAGTGCTCCTTTAGCAGGTCCTATATTTAACTCAGAGCTTTTGTAAAGCGGACTATTTTGAGTTGTCACATCTTTGTCATACACAGTACAGTGACTTGACACCACCGGCTTTGATGCCCTTCCTGGTTATTTGTCTCTCATGAGTGCTCTCCGACCTTTCTGCTATTTTAAGGCATGCGCTATGCGTGGATATCTTAGCTTCCGTACGGTTTCTGTGATAAAATCCTCTGACAAAAGCTAGTTAAGGCGAGAGTTTATTTTAGCTCCGAGGTTACCGTCCATTGCTTTGGGGACATTACAGTCACATAGGAACTTGGCAGCTGGTCACCCTGCACTGAATTCGTCTATGCCGCTTACTACCCAGTTCCCCTTCTTTACCCTCGCCAACTCCAGGAAACCTTGCCCAGGGATTGGTGCCATTTCTCGGTTAACCCAGTCACAATACCGCCCCTCCCCACAGACATGCCCAGTGGCCCGTTTATCAGGTAATTCTGGATTTTGCCCAGTTGACAATTAGCCTTGGCCGTCACTGTGGCAACAATTCTATCAATCAAGTTCAAACGGTGTAGTTGCTTAGGTCTTGTCGTTGCTCGCTCTTTCTCCTTTCTTTTCTGTTATAAAATGGCTTTCCCTGGGACACTGTCTGGGATCAGGTGGACTGTTACAGACAAGGGTGGCTTCACAGCTAATATGGACCCTGTATCTAGCAGGTGTTACCACAATGTATGTATCACCACAAACCCCACCGCGTGGACTGCATCTGTCTCATAACAGGTATTAAAAAATCATAAATATTTACACCCTTGTCATACGTATTTTTGGAACCTTGGGGTCCAAAGCTCCTTCAGCAGGGACAAGCTGCGTGCAGAGCTGGCTGTTGGGGAAGGGATGACAATGCCATCCATTACTCTTGTGGTTGACATGAACGGTAAGGGAAGAGGGGCAAGGGTCTGTGGATATCAGCGATGGGAAAGCCTGAGGCCCAAGTAGCGATGGGAGACCTGGCTGTAGACAGGCGGCTCTTGCAGCACACCATCGCTGAGGTACAGTAGCTGACCAAGTGCCAGCAGCCCCTTCAGCACGAGTGACTGTCACGCCGGTGCTGGGCAACATGGATCATTCTGGAGGGGGCCCCTGCACCCCTGCTGGTTTTTTTTTTTAATTTCTTCCTGTCATTTCCACTGACTGTTGTAGCTAAGCTGCTGCTCATGATAAACAATTGTGACTTTGTTCCAACTGCTGTGTCTGGGACAGCGTCCTTGGCACACTGAGTGCACGTGTGAGGTCAGAGTGGAGCCACAAGCATCCCTGCTGGTCCTTCTCTTTCTCATTCTTACTTCACTCCTTTCCACCCCCCCACACATACAGAGAGCAGTGGGGAAACAGAAAAGGGGGGAATAAGAAAAATCGGAATGGCAATGAGGGATTTCTAACTAGCAGAAACAGAACAGACCTGCTCATCCTTCTTGAGTTCGGAGGTCTGTATTTTGTAGAAATTTCTTTTTAAATAGTACAAGCATTTGGTAATGAGTTTTTTTTTTTTTACCTCCTTTCTGCTTGCCAAGGCGTTTTCTTCTTCCTAGCCTTTGCTTCCTCCAGCAGAAGGCAGGCACACAGCACAAGAGACATGTAGCCAGAATTGCAAAGTCGGAGTTAGCATTTTTAAGAGAACAGCTTTTTAGTATTATGTGTTTCTATATTTTAACTCATATACGCTTGGTATTTTAAGGATACACAGTTTTTCATACATTAGTAACTACTGTGGGAATTTAGATCTCTGCTTTTTTTGGAGGTGATCTCGGGTAATCTGCAGAGTATTTTACGTTGAAAGAAGACTGGGGATATCCGCTGAATGGGCGGAGTACTTAAAGATACACCAGTGAAAGAGAACTCAGTCTCCTTTGCTCTAGTAGAACTTGCAAATTAAGGCACTACCAAGAACATAGACTCTTTTGTTCCAGTTCTTGTCAATTTTGACAGTATGGGATCTGGGTTTTGCCACTATGGGGCTGGATAACTGCATTTTATGTATCCTGGGGAATCTTAGTGCAAGTCCTCAGGGGAACTGTTTGCTATTACTGTATTTTCATAGAAGGACAACCCTTCTAAAATGATTGTTTTGAAGATAGCATTCTTCTCACAGGGCAGCAACGGGGAGTGAGCTTGTTGCCTTGCACAACAGTCCAGGAGAGGAAAATGACACTTCAATGCTACTACAGCCTAGTCTTCCTTGAAATTTGCAAATACTTCTCCTGAATGAAGGAGGGGTTTTTTTTTTTTTTTTTAAATCCAACCAATGGCCTAACTGCTTCAGTAATTCTAAATGCAGCAAACAAGAAGCATAAGAATCCAGGACTTCACCTTCCACGAGGGGGAAGGGGACAGAATCCCATAAAAAGAATGAGAAAGAATGAGCACAAACTGTACAAAGAGATGACAGAGGACACAAACTCTTGAGCGAATTCCCAGAGAATTCCCCAAAAGAAGTCAACATAGGGCATGGAAGTATGAGTCAATCAAGAGACACAAATACTGAAGAAAAACTAACCTGAAATTCTAGAAATGTAAAATTCAAGGAGCCAAGCCAAACAACAACAACAATAACAACAACGACAACAGTACTCAAAAAAAAGCCTCACCAGAAATGGAGACATGGCTCAGTGGCCGAGAGTGGGTGCTGCTCTTCCAGAGAATCTGAGCTTGATTTGTAGTTAAGTGACTTACAAACTGTTGACAAGCCCAGTTCAAGGGGGTCCAATCTTTAGAACATTAAGAAAAGAACAAATATTTGAATCACGGGCATAGAAGCAGGATAAGAATTTGTCTTCAAAGAAATAGAAAATAGTTTCAATGAAATCACAGCTGAAAACTCCCCAAATTTAAGGAAAGAATACCTATCCAGATACAGGAGGCATTTAGAACCCCACTGAAATGAGACTAGAAAAGAATTTCCTCATCAAGGACTAAATATCCAAAATAAAGTATGTTGGAACTGGAAAGACGGAAACACAGCCAAATATAAAGACAGATCCATCTTAAAAGCAGCAAATTTCTCAAACAAAACAAATCAAGACAAAGCAAAACAAAATAAAACTTTTAAAGTAAGGAGGACCTTGAGGGATGTTATTTCAAACTCTAAATGACAACAGCCAATTCAGAATATTATACCCAGAAAAACTAGCTATTGTAAAGGAATGCAAAAGAAAAAGTTGGCCACTAAGCGAACTGCACAGACAATATTTGAAGAATACTTCAGACTGAATGGGAAGACAAACACATCACCCACAAGGTTACAGCGAAGAATAAACCACGCCAGAATGGTGGTTGAGCAGAAGAAGACTTGGAATGCATCAAACACTGCAAAGTGACAATAAATGGCACATATTTCTCAATAATAACTCTGTTATGGTTCATCAACCAATGTAGCAATTCAATCTGTTGAAAGAAAAAACTCACAAAATTAGGGTCAGGGCAGAGTTTTGTCTTTGCATTTCCAGGAAAATAAAAACATCCAACTGAGGACTCTAAAGATCTTTGGACAAATCAAACATTGAGAAAAGAAGGGAGAACCATCCAGAAAAAAAAAATACCAAGAAAAGGAGTAATTGGCTTAATGATGTAAAATGCTTCTACAAGGTAAAGTTTCATAAACCTTTTTGTTTATGAAATGTTGGTTTTTGCTGGATTCTACAGACATGCTAAACAGGTAGTCTTTATGTAGTCCCGACTCAATTAAAAGTTAAAGCTGACTTTGCAGTTGGAGTGCGACTCTCTCCTTTTCTAAACCCAAGCATGTTGTTAAAAGAAAATTCAAAGTCTCTGTCTCCTTTCAGAAGAGCCACCTGGTATGGGACAGAATAAAATAGAAATCTAGGACTATTATTGTCACAAAGCTCATACCCCTTGAATTTATTTTGACTCTTTAAAATTTTTTTCTTAGGGTATAAGTACTATCTTGAACTTTACAATTTCTTTTTAATATTAATGATATCAAAAAGTACTAACTAATTCTAGCCTTAGGTTTCATGTAGCTTCTTGCATGTGATTTCAGGCTTAAGTTTAAAGAGCTATTTATTATTAAACCTGGATACCCTGGATATACTTAATAGAAAATGGTCCCTTAACTTCCCTAAGATTTACAGCTTATGACATTTAATATGTTTAGATTCCTAACAGCTCTCTGAAGTCTCCAAA